AAAAACGCTGTCCGTGCCACGTCCTGTGCAAAACACCCTCGTAGCAGCAAAGGTGAAGAGGCGGGTCCAGGAGCAGCAGCAGCACGGCCAGAAAAGATGCAGCCAGGAGGACAGGGGTGACTAGAAGAAGAAAGCACTGCATAAGCATAAACTTTTGGCGCTCTGCGCAGATTTCTTGGATCTGCGCTGGACCCCCCTCCCTGGCGCGCGGAGGGCGCCAGGGGCGGCGCCGGAGGCGCCGCCAGGGGGGGGCCCTGCGCACATCCAAGAACGGCCATGTGCACCTGAGTGTTTCTGTTGCAGGGGATCGGGGCCATCCAGACCAAGACATGCGCTGGCACACTGGGGCGGCGGCGGCCGCACCCGGGCGAGCTCGGGAGGCGGTCCCGGGCTGCCCGTTCCCCCCTGGGAGTGGCTCTTCTGTGGTCCCCGCCCCCATCAGAACCTTCTATGTGGGACGCACAAAAGGCATGCGAAGACCAAATCTGTACATGTGTACACAATGAATATATACACACATGTATGTACACTGATCTACAGATATATACACAACTATAAGAGATATATGCTCTTTGGAGGCGCGCGTCCGACCCGAACATATAGTAGACCCATCTTGTAGTAGATCGTGGCCAGAAAGCGGTGTGGCCAGAAAGCGCCCGCCACGACGCATATACTACAAGATTTCTAAGTGCGCGCGTCGCCCCTTGGGGGGGGGGGGGGGCGACGCACACATAGTATTAGCATGTTGGGGTGGCACCGATCTCTGGAAAGACGATCAAGACAAAAACAAAACGGAGGTGTTGATCAGTGTTCAACCCCTGGAAGCCCGCACCAGGCACCGGGGCCGTCACAAAGCCACTCGGGACAAAAAACCGGCTCTGGGAAAAGGGCCAGGACTGCCTGGGACCGCGACGGGAAACAAATCAGGCCGTCGCAGGCATGGGCCTCAACATTCCTCGGCATGAATCGGCAATGGACAAACAATAAACCTCCCCTTAGTGAAAACGGCCTGGGACCGAAACCGACGGACCTGGACCCGCAAAAATGACGGCGGCGACGCCCTCTCGCGAACCGAAAACGGCCAATTCCTGAATCGACGTGTCAGGGTAGGAGGTCTGTCCACCTCCGAATGAAGCAGGCCCAGATCGCAGAAGCCATGCCGCTAGCAATCCGGGCGCGAGTCCTCGATGTCGGCCTCCGGGGGCCCGCTCTCGGGCCGCGGGGCCACCAACAAAACGGATCTGGGGCGCAGAAGCACGCCGAAAATTAGGAGCAGCCGTCGGCCGTTGGGATGCATTTTTCCCGATGATACTGATTCCGTGAACTTAACTCAAGCAGGAAGCAAGCTACACGGCTCCAGTATGTTTGCACTTGTAGCAGTAGGTTATGGCGCGTCGGCCTGCCAAATTCTCAGGTCCTTGGGTCGGGAACTCCCTGAGGAGACGGACTGAAACTTGTTCCGCCCGCGGCGAGGCAGAGGCGGTCCAGCGCGTGGCCATGCGGGGCAACCGAGTGGCCAATGGGCCGGCGGGAGGCAGAGGACGAGGGCGGCCGCGCGGAGGGAGGCGGAGGGCAGAGCACTCATGGCGTAAAAAACAGTTCCGCGGCGAGCGGGCCAGGGCGGCCGGCCGTGGCAGAGGGGAGGGACGTCGGAGGATGGCTGGGGAGGCTGGGCATCGCTCGGACGTCCATTCCCTGTGTTTTTTTCGGTTTCGTGCGTGGCTTTTGCGCCAAATGATCGAGGATGCTCCTCGATGGCCCTCGCCAAGGAAAAAATGCACACGTCCGAGCGATGCCAAGGAGGAGGGCAGCGGGTCCTGACCTTTTTCCTTGGCCTTCGGCCTCGCGGGCCCTCGGCTTGGAGGCCTGGAAATGGGCACCAACACCAACACAGGGGGCTGCCTCCACAGGGGGGAGGCGATCCTAGATTTCGGTGTTGGTGGTAATAGTTCGGCCACCTTGGAAGCCATAATAGTACCACCACCGCCGAGATCGGGATCTTCGGAGGCACACCGCCGAAATTGGTGTTGGTGTCAACCTCTAAGCCTGCGATCGACGGGGCTTCCAGGAGGGCCCTCAGAGGAGGAAGCTCGGGACGGAAAGCTGGTCCTGGGGAAGTGCTCTGGGTCCCGGGCCCGTGTCCCGCAATGCTCGCGAATCTGGGCATAGGGATTAGGCATGCGCGGATCTGGCCCGTGGGCGCCCAATCCACGGATCGGGGAACGTACCCCGCGGCGCGCCGATGAAGCACGGAAACGGAGCCCGTCGCTAATCCACGTGCCCTGATCCATTTTCTCACTTCCCCGAAATACCTGCTTGCACCATGCCAACACCCCCACCCAGAAAGGATTCGATGAATCCGACACTGTTGTAGCATCTGGGGATCACTTCTTGTTGAACATGCTGAGCATTCCTCGTCGTGCTTGTTGGCCCAATGTGCAAGCAAGACTGAAACATCTACGTCGTGAAATGAGTCGACGCGGGGATCCCAACATGTGCATCTCAGGTCCTGGCGCTCCCGTCGGCGAGCGGCTGCGTTGGGGGACTCTTGGCCTGCGGCGGCGGAGCGCTCCCTGGCGCCTGAGCCCTGGAGAGCCCACGTGCTGTGCCTGCTACATCGGGATGATCTTGGGACTCTGAGAAGAGAGAGGAGGAGGAGGAGGAGGAGGAGGAGGAGGAGGAGGAGGAGGAGGAGGAGGAGGAGGAGGAGGAGGAGGAGGAGGGAGGAGGAGGAGGAGGAGGAGGAGGAGGAGGAGGGGAGGAGGAGGAGGAGGAGGAGGAGGAGGAGGAGGAGGAGGAGGAGGAGGAGGAGGAGGAGGAGGAGGAGGAGGGGAGGAGGAGGAGGAGGAGGAGGAGGAGGAGGAGGGGGGGGGGCCAAAACCGGCGTTTCGCCCAGAGAGGACCCACGATCTGGGCGCGAGCTGGCAAGCGCAGCGCCTCTGAGGCCATGCCTGCTACATCGCGGTGATCACGGGGCAACCAATAGGCGGCGAGCGAGGGGGGGAAGTGAGAAGGAGAAGGCCTTCTCAGAAGGCTCGGAAGCCCCTGGGCCTTCCGAGAAGTCTTCGAAGCCTCCCCCGAAGACACAAAAGAACTTCCCGGAAGGCCCGAGGCCCTCTGAGAAGTCCCGCCGCCTTCTGAGAAGGCCTACGCCTTCCGACTTCCCCCCCCTCGCTCGCCGCCGAGCCAACCGACGGAGGCGCCGAAGCAAGACAGACCGTGCGAGACGCCCCCCCGGTGTGGACGCGAGCGATCGGCGATCTTCTGACCCGGGTCAATCCAGACCCGGGTCAGCAGGAAGCCAAAAACTGCAATGCAGGAAAAAAAAAACTGCAACGCAGGTCTTCGCAAACCCGGGTCAGCCAATAGGCGCGGCCGCCTCGCGGCCACGATCGGCTCGCTGACCCGGGTCAGCCAGAGGGGGTCTGCGCAGGCTCCTGCAGGATCTGGCGCCCTGGCTGACCCCCGTTTGCACTGACCCCCGCCTCGAGGCTCCCGAAGCGAGCCCGCGGCACACCCTCCGGCGGCTCTCCCCGCGTGGACGCGAGCGAGCCCGACGTGGACGCCCCCCCGCGTGGACGCGAGCGAGCCCGCGGCACACCCTCCGGCGGCTCTCCCCGGGGAGGCGCCCGGGCGCCGTGCCCTGCCCGCCTCTCGCGGGGCGCACGGAGCCCTCGGAAGCGGAGGGCCCGCGGCGCCGGAGGGTCGGGGCGGGGCCGCTCGGGGCATCCGCACGCGGTCGGGGCGCGACGGGGCCCGCGGTGCGCCCCCTGGCGGCCTCTCCTTGGGAGGGGGGGCCCTTCCCCGGCACGCCTCCCCGTCCAGAAAGTCCCGACAAGTGCACAAAAGAACACACAAAAAAATGCTGGACGGGGGGCCCGTCTCCCCGCCCAGTAGTCCTCCTCGCCCCCAGAGGGGGCCCTCTTTCCCCCCTCCAGAGGGCCCATGAGGGCCATCTCTCCCCCCCCGGTCCTCTCTCCCCCTCCCCAGAGGGCCCCCTCCTCCCCCCCCCAGTCCTCCTCCCCCCCTGCTAGATATCGGCGAGCATGGGGCTCTCTAAAAAAAGGGAAAAAAATCCGCGGCGCCGAGAGAAGCGCCATCTCCAATCCGAGCGTGCACGGGCAAGAGCCCCCCCTCCCTGGCGGCGCCTCCCTGGCGTCCAGGTGCCTTCTCCAGGAGGTGCTCAAATGCCGTCTGCGACATCGCGACAAGCATTGGGCGATGAAAAGGAAGGAGTCTGGGCCATGAAAAAGGCAAACCGCCTGCGACATCCCCACAACCTGGGCGCGAACACCGCCACTAGGGCCTTCGGTGGAGCCCCCTTATGGGTCCACGAGACGCTGTGCTGGGTGGGGGAGACGCATGCGAACACCGCCACTGGGGCCTTCGGTGGAGCTCTCCATGAGGCCACGAAACGCTGTATTGAGTGGGGGGGGCGCATGCGAACACCGCCACTGAGGACTTCGGTGGAGCTCCCTTTGAGGCCACGAAACGCTGTACTGGGCGGGAGAGACGCATGCGAACAGCGCCACTGGAGCCTTCGGTGGAGCTCTCCATGTGGCCACGAAACGCGATGCTGCGTGGGGGAGACGCATGTGAATATCCCCACTCCACGAAACGCTGTACTGAGCGGGGAGACGCATGCGAACACCGCTACTGAGGCCTTTGGTGGAGCTTTCTGTGGGACCGCGAAACGCAGTACTGGGTGAGGGGAGACGCATGCGAACACCGCCACTGGGACCATCGGTTGAGCTCCCTATGGGGCCACGAAACGTGTGAGTGGTGCGCCGAAAGTGGTGGGAAAGATAATGATAATGACTGCGATCATGATGACGATGATGGTGATGATGACAGCGATGATGACGATGATGATGATGATGATGATGATGATGATGATGATGATGATGATGATGATGATGATGACGATGACGATAACGATAATGAGGATGATGGTGATGATGATGGTGGTGATGATGATTACGATGGTGACGGCGTTGATGATGATGGTGGTGATGATGGTCATGACTATGATCATGATGTTCATGATGATTATGATGATCATGATAATCATGATGATGGTGGTGATGGTGATGATGATGCTGCTGATGATGATGATGGAAGGGAAGAGTGAGGAGGTGAGACGAGGGGCGCTGTCTCTTTAAACGAGGACCCAGCACCACTGGATTGTTTTGAAACATCTGGAAGAGCTTCACGGATTGAGGGCAAACTGTTTTCGACATGTGGCTCTCGTCTGAGCGACGCGCACACTCGTCTCACAAATTCGCAAAGGCTTCACAGAGTGAGGGCAGGCGGTTTCCAAAACGTGGTTGTCGCCTCAGCGGCGCGAAACTTCTTCTTATTCATCAAGGATGGAGGGCAGCTCCTTTTCAACATGTGGCTCTCGCCTTAGCGCCGCGCCCACTCGTGTTAAAACTTAACAGCAGGTTCACGGATTCTTGTGGCTGAAGTCCCAGGAAGGATATCCTAGCACGATTTGGGGTTGTCAGGACGCATCAGCCACGCTGATTCGTGGTGCTGAAGGCCCAAGAAATGTGTTCTGCCACGGTTAAACACTGTCAAGACGCATTAGTCACGTTGACTCGCGGCGGTGGAATCTCAGAAACTGGAGTTGGGCACCATTAAGGAACTGAGACGGGTGCCTTCCCGTGAAGCATTACCAGCAATGAAAAATCGCGCAAGCATCTATACAGATGGAATTTGGAGGGAGGGTGTAGTGAATCATCGTTGGTGGGTTGGGGTTTACGCAGTAGTCCTCCTCCTCCTCCTGCGTTTCCAACTCCCTCCTGGACCTCCTCCTCCTCCTTCTTCTTCTCCTCCTCCTCCGCCACCTCCTCCTCCTTCTCCACCCCCGAAAGGAACGCGCACGACTCCGGCGTTCGCTTCGCTTCGCTTCGCTTCGCTTCGCTTCCTCCTCCTCCTCCTCATCATCATCATCCTTCTCCTCCTCCTCATCCTTCTCCTCCTCCTCCTCCTCCTCCTCCTCCTCCTCCTCCTCCTCCTCCTCCTCCTCCTCCTCCTCCTCCCCCTCGTCCCCGCCCGTGGAGATGCTTTTGCCCGCGGTCCTCGGCGGTGATGAGCCCGTCGCGGTCCGCGTCCAGCAGGTCGAACACGGCCCCGCAGAGCCCCTCGTCGCCGAACAGCCTGGTGCCGCTCAGCGCTGCCGCCACGAACGTCGTGTAGGCGATGCCCCTCGGCGCGTCCTGGCCGCGCGGTCGCGCTCCAGAGCTCCCCAGACATGCTCGCGCCGTGGAAAAACCCAGTGAGAAACGGCTTTGCTAATCTCGGCCTCTGGGGGCCTTCGCGGGGCCCCGGGACCGTCGAAGAGGATCTCAAAATTACAAACCGGCCTCGGTCGGGACGTCCGTGGGCCTAGCAGGGAAGATAAACAAAACACTGGATGTCTGCGGAGACGCCCCAGGAGCTCGGGCCAACACCCTCCCAGCGGTGGCTCGGCCGACGAAGACGGGAGGGGCGCCACCGCATCTGCACATGGTTACAGCCTTGGCGCTTGACGTGACACACGGCGTCAGTTGCCACCCACGCCGGTTTCCTCATTCCTCATCGTCCTCCTCCTCCTCCGCCTCCTCCTCCTCCTCCTCCTCCTCCTCCTCCTCCTCCTCCTCCCTCCTCCTCCTCCTCCTCCTCCTCTCCTCCTCCCCCTCCTCCTCCTCCTCCTCCTCTCCCTTCCTCCTCCTCCTCCTCCTCCTCCTCACCTCCTCCTCCTCCTCGTCCTCCTCCTCCTCCTCCTCCTTGTCCACTCCAACTCGTCCTTGTACTCCTCCCTCCTCCTCCTCCTCCTCCTCCCCACCTCCACCTCCTCGTTGTCCTCCTCCTCCTCCTCCGTTCCTCCTCCTCCTCCTCCTCTCCTCCTCCTCTTCCTTCTCCTCCTCCTCCTCCTCCTCCTTCTCATTCCTCCTCGTCCTCCTTCTCCTCCTTCTCCTCCTACTCCTCTTCCGCCTCCTCCTGACCATGACTATCATTCCTTCGCCCGTATCGGCGAAGCGGGTCAGACACCGCGTCGCCACCATCTGACCTCCTCTTCCACCTCCTTCTGATGATCTGTCTCCTTCTCCTCCTCTCTCTCCTCATCATCGTATGCCTCCTCATCCGCATCCTTATCATCATCATGATAAACATCATGATCATCGTGTTCATCATGATCAACATCATCATCATCATCATCATCATCATCAGCAGCAGCAGCAGCAGCAGCATCACCATCATCTTAATCACCATCGTATTGATTATCATCATCATCATCATCATCATCACCATCATCATCATCATCATCAGCAGCAGCATCATCATCCTCATCACCGTCACCATCGTCATACTCATCATATTCATAATCATCAGCAGCGGCAGCCGCCTCAGCAGCATCAGCATCATCATCAGCACCAGTAGGATCATCAGCATCCTCATCATGATCATCATGATCATCATCATCAGCAGCAGCATCATCAGCAGCATCCTCGTCATCGTCATCGTCATCGTCATTATCATCACCACCATGAGCATCAGTATCGTCATCGTCATCAGTATCGTTATCGTCATCGTCATCACCATCATCGTCCCATCATCATCATCATCATCGACGGCATCATCAGCATCATCAGAATCATCCGTATTAACTTCATCATCATCATCATCATCATCATCGCACCACCATCATCAGCAGCATCAACATCAGCAGCATCATCATAGTCGTCATCGTCGTCAGCGTCATCATCGTCGTCAGCGTCATCATCACAGTCGTCATCGTCGTCATCGGCAGCATCAACATCATCATCGTCATCGTCCCATCATCAGCAGCAGCAGCATCAGCATCATGAGCATCATCAGCAGCAGCATCATCAGCATCATCGTCGTCTTCATTTACAGCAAATTTTAATAACCATCATCGCTATCATCAGCATCACCATCATCACCATCATCAGCGTCGTCGTCAGCATCATACTCATCAAAATCATCACAATCATCATCTGCAGCATCAGCATCGTCAGCATCAGCATCAGCATCATCATCATCATCATCATCATCATCATCAGCATCATCATCATCATCACCATCATTATCATCATCATCATAATCGTCATCGTCGTCGTCGCCCGCACTCTCCACCGCCTGCATCCTCCCTCGTCCCCCCTCTACCGTCCCTGCTCCCTCCCTCCGTCCTTCCCCTCTCCACCTCCTCAACCCGTGCCGCTCAGGTAGACTGCTCCTCCTCCTCCTCCTCCTCCTCCTCCTCCTCCTCATCATCCTCATCATCATCATTCTCCTCCTCCTCCTCTCTTCCCTCGCCCCTCGTCCTCCATCAGTTTTCCTTACAGAGAAGTCACCCTCTTCTGAACACAAGACGTGTCGACAGGGCAGGCCAGACGATTCGCCTGAGACATCTTCACGACGCATGGTTCTGAAGCTTGGGGGCTACAACCGCTGCAAGGATGCAGGTGGGGGCGACCTTCACATGGAGCGTTAGCCTTTTCGCCGCGCACATTCGTCCGCCAAGCTTGCGGCAGTTGCAATGATGCACGGCTGGTGGTGTTCAACCTGTACCTCTCGCCCCAGCGTCGCGCACACTCGTCTTAAAGGCCTCCAACAGATACAGGGATGGAGGGACGTGTCTTTTCGACAAGGGGCTCTCAACTCAGCAGGGCGCGCATTCGTCGTAACATCTTGCAGCAAATAAGATGGTGGGAGCGGTGTCTTGTCAACATGGGGTTATCACATAGGCGCTTCGCACTATCGCTGGAAACATCTGCAGCAGCTGCAAGGACTGAGGACGGTTCCTTAACAAATGTGGGCGCTCGCGTGCGCCTTCCGCCGTACAACAGCTCCCGTCAAGTACAACAGCGAGCAGAAGTTACACGGATGAAGGCAGATTCGTTTTCACGCCGTCAGCAAAATGCAGCATGCGAACGTGCACAACAGGTACACGGATGGAGGGCGGTTACTTTCCAACATGGGGATCTCGACTGGTACTTCCTCAAATGTACCGCCCAGCAGTTTGCAGCTGTGGGTGGCGGAAGGTTCCTTTCCAAAACGGGGCTCACGCTTGAGACCCCCTGGCTTTAAACGACCATAACTGACAGCGATGGTCGTCTGATACTTTCGGCAGGGGCGGCAGCCCAACTGGTAAAATCAATAACCACGAAATTGAATCAATGAAGTAGCGAATGCTCACATAGGATGTTCCTTGAAGAGAAAGAGGTTGCGGAGCTCGGTGGCTGCCAAGGTCTGGCGACAATCAACATAGGCCGACGGAGCCCACTCGCAGAACTGCCACTTGCCCCCCGGCTGCACGGATAGGGGGCGGCTCCCTCTCGAGACTGAACCTTCGCTCGGCACCCCGCTGAACCTGATGGCCCTACCCCGCCGCACCCCCTGTCACTCGCCAGAATCATGCGCGGCAGCTCCTTTGTTTCACAGCAGGGCTCCCGCCCGAGCGGCAGGCACACACGGTGCGCGTGTTTCTAGGGGGGGCGTCTCCTGCAGTGGAAAAAGGAGGGCTCGCTGCGAGGTGTGAGATGCGAACCTGGGACGGGAGGGTGCGCTGCAACATGGTTGATGCATATCGGGTCTACTAGGGTCGCCCTCCGAATCCTCCTCCATACCCCATGCCGCCCCAGCCAACCTGGGATGACGCGGGGGCAGGGAGAACGGGAACAGGATAAAAGGAAAAGACAGCCCTCCTCCCTCCGCCCTTCCTCCTTGCATCCCGACCCCCCCATCCACCCCCCCCAGTCCTCCCTCCAACCAACCCTCCCTCCGAAGCCTCCCCCCATCGCCCCTGCGTGCCACCCCTTTTCCTCCCTTATTCACGTCCTCCCTCCCTCCCCTATCACCGCTCCCCCCCCCCTTCCCACAGCGAGCACGACCGATCGCAACCACTTCGGACCGATCGTAAACCACTTCGGACCGATCGCAGCCAGTTGCGATCGGTCCGGAGTGGTTGCGATGTTTTTGGATCGTTTCAATAAGGTTTGTACTAAGGAAGAGATCATAAGAGCGCTTCTGGGTTCAATGAGTTCCCTTAAGCCGCAAAATGGGAATGTGAAAAAGCGGTTGCGATCGGTCCGACCACAGATGGCCGATCATAGCTTCAGCTAAACACACGTATTGGAGATCGAACGTGGCCATGATCCGTATACGATTCTCATGTGATTCGTATACGGTTAAAACCAAAACTGAGCGAAAACGCCTGGCGTGAAACAAATTGCATCTCAGGATGGGGAGGAGGAGGAAGAGGAGGAGGAGGAGGAGGAGGAGGAGGAGGAGGAGGAGGGGGAGGAGGAGGAGGGGGGGAGGAGGAGGAGCAGGACGAGGAGGAGGAGGGAGGAGGAGGAGGAGGGAGGAGGAGGAGGAGGAGGAGGAGGAGGAGGAGAGGAGGAGGAGGAGAGAACGAGGAGGCGGAGGAGGAGGGGGGGAGGAGGAAGGGAGGAACGAGAAGAGGGCTAAAGGCCAGGCCCCGCGAAATGCCACTCGAGCTGGGGGACTGCTGTGATGGCGATGGTGAGGACGATTTGCATGGCAATGGTGATGTGCGTGGTAATCTCGATGTGGTCTCGATCTTCCAGGGCCTGGAAGGAGGGAGGCTTGAGCGTCCAAGATGGCCGAAGATGACTCTAAGAAGGCTCAGACAGCACACGATGGCCTCCAATATGGCCCAATGTACTTCAAGATGGCCCAAGATAGCCTCCGACATACATCCATGAGGCCGAGATAGATAGCCGCCGACATTCCACCAAGAGGCCCCCAGGTCCCCGAGGGGTCCACGAGACGATTCTTGGGGCTGTCGAACGGCAAAACCTCACAGAAGCCCCGTAGAAGTCTCTCAGAAGCCTTTCAAAAGCCTCTCAGAAGCCGCTCGGAAGCCTTTCAGAAGCCTCTCAGAAGCCTCGCAGAAGCCGCTCAGAAGCCTCTCAGAAGCCGCATAGAAGCCTTGCAGAGGCCTCGCAGAAGCCTCGCAGAAACCGCGTAGAAGCCTCTCAGAGGCCTCGAAGAGGCCTCGCAGAAGCATCGCAGAAGCCTCGCAGAGGCCTCGCAGAAGCCGCTCAGAAGCCTCCCACAAGCCTCTCAGAAGCCTTTCAGAAGCCTCGCAGAAGCCTCTTGGAAGCCTCTCAGAAGCCTTTCGGAAGCCTCTCAGAAGCCTCTTAGAAGCCTCTCAGAAGCCTTTCGGAAGCCTCTCAGGAGCCTCTCAGAAGCCTCCCACACAAGCCTCTCAGAAGCCTTCCGCAAGCCTCCAACAAGCCTCTCAGAAGCCTCGCAGAAGCCTCTCAAAAGCATCCCACAAGCCTCTCAGAAGCCTCTCAAAAGCCTCCCACAAGCCTCTCAGAAGCCTCCCACAAGCCTCTCATAAGCCTCACACAAGCCTCTCAGAACCCCCCCCAAGTCTCGCAGAGGCCTCAGGGAAACCTTTCAGAAGCCTCAGGGAAGCCTTTCGGAGCCCTGAGAAGCCTTTCAGAGGCCTCAAAGAAGCCTTTCAGAGGCCTCAGCAGGAGCTCTTGGATCGGTTGCAATCCAGTGTTCTCCTGACAAGTTTGTATAGGAACCCTTTAGGTTGCGATGCGTCCGTTTGTTGTGGTTGCAATCCGACCGAAGTAGTTCCTGGTCTTATTCCCCCTTCCAACAGTGCCCCTCCATCCGTCCACTCCCCATTCTACCTATCCTACCTCCCTCGCCCCGAGTCCCTCCTCCGATCCATCCTCCTTTCCATCCGACCTGCCTCCTTTACTCTCCTACTCCCCTCTTCTCCACCGATAGCGGGGGAGGACGGTTGCAGTAAAAAGGGCTGGGCTTGGGACGCCGGCCCGACGCGATCTCCTGGCCAGCCTCCGCAGTGCTGTGGACGGCAAGGGCGGAGAACCACGAAGGCTCCGGAACAGTGAGACCTGAGGAAAGGGGGTCCTGCTCCTCCTCCTCCTCCTCCTCCTCCTCCTCCTCCTCCTCCTCCTACTCCTCCTCCGTCTTCCCCAGCTCCTCCTCCTCATCATCCTCCTCCTCATCCTTCTCCCCCGGCTCCTCCTCCTCCTCCTCCTCCTCGTCCTCCTCGTCCTCCTCCTCCTTCTCCTCCTCCTCCTCCGCCCTTCTACTCCTCCTCCTCCTCTCCTCTCCTACTCCTCCTCCTGTTCCTCCTCCTCCTCCTCCTCCTCCTGCCCTCCCTCCTCCTCCTCTTCCTCCTCTTCTTCTTCCTGTTCCTCCTCCTCCTCCTCCTCCTCCTCCTCCTTCTCCTCCTCCTTCCCCTCCTCCTCCTCATCCTCCTCCTCCGTGTATCTGCGTACTCTGCGCATCAGATACGGGTATGCACACGACGGGATGCCAAAATGTATTACCAACAACTTGCCCAGGAGGTCAAATCGGAATGGTCTGTCCCACAAGACGACAAAGCGCTTTGGAAGCTCAAAGGATTGGGCGCGTGTTCCGATAAGAAGCTTGCACAACGGCCCACGCCGATTGTGAAGGGAGTGTATGGAATGCCAGCCCAGACTACGACGGATGCCGCCAACATCTGGCTGGAGCATTTTGCCCACGAAGAACTTAGCGCAGTGGTGCCGCTGGATCCTGAGCAGGCCACACTCGATAGCTTTGCCGAGCTCCCTTCTTCGCTTACGCACAGCACCCCTGCAGATGGAGCACTCCTCCCCCCACTCCACACGTGTCGAGCCGCCTGCTGCACAGCGCGCACCTCAGCAGCGAGCCTGGACGGCATCCCAGGCGGCCTCGTGCGTCCCTTCAACACGGCACTGGGAGCTCTTGTACTGCCCGGTGGTGGTCAGAGCATGTATGCGCCTGGAGGAACCAAGTCAGTGGAGAAGAGGGTGCTATTGGGACATACGGAAAGGAGCCCCTGATCCATCTATCCCGCTGCATTCGCGCTCAGTTATGGTGTCGCCTCATCTTGGGAAGCGCTGCCGCATGCTCCTGCGCACACCTATCGTTATCGCTCTCCCGCATAACGCAGGGGACACGCAACTTGGGGGTATAGCTGGCAGGGAAGTGGACATAGCGGCATTGGCGCTTCGCGGCTTTCAGAGTATCGCAGCAGGCCACCACCAATCGGCAGAATGTTTAGTGGCTGATGCCGTGCAGGCCTTCTACAAGGCCATCCGACAACTCGTCATGGAGTCGAGCCTGACCCAAGACGAGCTCGCCAGCATCTTGCAATCAGCTGGGCTTCCGCCTACCGCCATGCACAACATCATGCAGAAGCTTCAACAGCCCGAACAGGCCCTCGAAGATGCAGTAGTATCACGGCACGTACGTGCGCTCACAGCCACATCATATCATGGTGCATGGTTTAATTACTCTGGGGCCACTAACATTGCGTTTCCCATGATGGGATCTATTCTGGGATAACAAGTGGGGGGGGATGGTATCTACAAATACGTCATGGCAAAATGTGTCAATCATGCTGTGCAGCCTTTGTCGCTACAGGAGACGAACTCAGAGTACCGACGAGGACGGAGGCGCCAATCGCTTCCACCCTTGCAGGCAATACCAGAAGCACGATAGCCGCGCTAGACATGAACTTCTTTGATGATGGAGGCTTCGTCATTGTTGGCAGTGCAGAACACGTGCTCGACCAGGCCGCCGCGATCAGCAGCATAGTCGTCGATGCCTGTACCGTGGACGGCATGCGCATCAACATGAAGAAAGGAAAATCAGAGCGTGTCTTACAATTTCGGGGCAAGGGATCTGGCAAAGCCAAAATCCGACGTTGGAAAATCATCAACTTCGATACAGCGACCCTGGGGCCACAGCAGCTCAACGCTGCAAGACAATACCCGCATCTGGGGAGAAGCCTTGACAAAAAAAATCCTTGGGACCAGAAATCGCACACCGACATCGAGCATGTGCCCACTTCGTCGCCGCGTCTACTTTGCAATGGGTAAGTCACCAGAGGATTACAAGCTGAGAATGCATTTTCTTGACTCGCTGGTCACCTCCTCGCAGCTTTTCAATGCAGGCACCTGGAGTGGCGCCACGGAGGCGCAGTTACGGACCCTAACCGCAAGCATCCTCTCCAAATACAGGGCTGTCTCCAACATGCCGAAGTATGACGACACTACTTGCCCCGACTCCCAGGTACTACTTATGGCCCAACGCGCCCACATCCACACCCAGCTTAGGATTCACCGGCTTAGAGTCTTTGGGCGTCTTGTGCACTTCGGGTCCAATATACCTACGGGCCTCAAGAAGATCCTCAAGCGTGGCTCCGACAGGTTTGCGAGGATCTCAAGTGCTCCAACACGTTAGAGGCGGCATGAAGGACCTACCAGATCCCCGGCAGGACTTACTCCCTTGGGAAAGGATAGCCCACAAATCGCTATCTGCGTGGCGGTGACGATTGAGAGCGGCATTGGATGCCCACATCAAGGCTGACAGCCGACTGGCACAGGCTGTCGAGGCCGAACGACCATTGTTTCAGCTGGTACGGCCGTGTGGTGTCCCACTCCAAGGAGGGGAGGCAAGAGGTTCTGTGTTTTACTTGCCCCTGGTGCCCCATGGAGTTCCGCAAGCGCAAGAGCCTCCAACAACACATTGAGCGTCAATATTTCACGTTCATGCGACATGTAGGGGCCATCACGGGCCCTTCCAACACGTGCCGTGATTGCGCCACCGAGTTCTCGCAGAGGCGCCAGGTGCGTAACCACTTGGCGTTCGACTCCGCTCGATGCTGCCTCGCATGTTTCTTGCACGGCGCCGAGGTTCCAGTGCATGTGGCGCGCGCCTGGGCAGCAGAAGATGCCGCGGAGGTAGTGCGCAAGAGAAGACCAGGCTTGGGAAGATGGCACTCCGACTTCCCTGCCACGCCACATGTCCCCCCAGAGGGCCTTATCTGGGACTTCAACTGGGTCTTCGCGCAATTTACCGAAGTTCAGGCTCGGGAGGTCCTGCTAGATTCCATGTATCAGCTCACCGAGGCTTCCAAGGATACTATTCAGGCCAAGCCCTCTCAAGACCTCCCTCAGCATCCCCAGCCAGATGCCCAACAATACGACGACAAATGGTACATCTACAGACCACAGGATTTCACGGATTATGCCGCGGATTCACTGCCAGTCAGGATCAAGCCTACCACTATCTTAATTTTGAACTTGTTCTCAGGAATGCGCCGTGAAGGGGACATCCAATCCCACGTCCAAGAGACTCTTGCCCTGCCAGATTGTGAGTTCGTTGTCTTAAGCATCGACATTGCCATACACCGTGTGCACGGGGACATGACACAGGACTCCACAATACAGGAATGGGTGGGGCACATATTGGCAAGATGAGTATGGTGTTCGGGAGGGGCCCCCCTTGCGAAACCTGGAGCGCTGCCCGGTGGTTGGACGGGGCCCCCCCCCGCTGCGAACCACTGTTTATGTCTGGGGTGTTCCTTGGGTCATAGCATCACAGCATGATCAGCTCCATGTGAGTAGCAGGTTGTCGCACGCAATGGTTCATATCATGGGGGCCCACTTGAGAGCCGGGACATCAGCACGGATGGAGCATCCCGCCCCGCCGACATGGCGCGCTGGCGCGCCCACCTCGTTGATGTTGCTTCCTCTGCGCGCGCTGGCGTCAACGCCCTGTGCGACAACGGTGAACTTTGACCAGTGCTGCTTCCGCGATGGAGATCCGATCACTTTCGGAAAAGCGCCTACCAAAGTTTTTGCCATACGCATGCCGCTGATGTATGGACTACTGACCTTTCATCATGAAGGCAGGTGCCCACAGCCGAAGAACAGTCACATGGTCCTGTGGGAAGTCAGAGACAAGAACTTTCAGAACTGCCACACAGAAAACTTACCCACTCGATATGTGCCGTATGTGAAGTTACCGTGGATGCAAACAGTCGGATGTTCGATGACACGATAGGGGCACCTGATGGATCGGATGCCGACTCAACAGATATCAAACAACAACTTATGGCCCTGTATGTACGTTGGGGCCCTGACAGACCCCATGACAACGGAAAGAGGACACTCTGAGTCTGAGCGTTGGGATCCTTTCAATAGGCCTCCCTCCTCCTCCCCGCACCCCTCCTGCTCCTCCTCCTCCTCCTCCTCCTCCTCCTCCTTCTCCTCCTCCTCCTCCTCCCCCTCGTCTTCCTCCTCCTCTCCCTCCTCCTCCACCTCTTCCTCCTTCTCCTCCTCCTCCTCCTGCTCCTCCTCCTCCTCCTCCTCCTCGCCCTCCTGCTCCACCTCCTCGTCCTCCTCCTCCTCCTCCTCCTCCTCCTCCTCCTCCTCCTCCTCCTCCTGCTCCTCCATTCCTTTGCTTATGGTTAACTCCTCCTTGTTGCACCCCGAGGCCACTTGAGGGTGGACCCAGCGTTTCGCCTGAGACTTTCTCACCATTTGTGACCCCGATGGTTCAAATTGACAAGAGCTTCACACATGGACGGTGGATCGATTTCGAAATGCGGTTCTCGCCTCAGCGCGACGCACATTCGTTTCAAAGACTTGCAAGGTTTCATGGATTGAGGTCCGCTGGTTTCGAAATGTGGCTCTCGCCTTGGCGCCGCGCACACTCGTTCAAGGGTTTCACGGATTGAGGGCGCGTCGTTCTCAAAATGTGGCTCGCCATGGTGCCGCGCACACTCGCTTTAAATATACGCAAAAAAAGTTCCACATATTGAGGGCATGTGGTTTTCAAAATATGGCTCTCGCCACAGCGCCGCGCACATTCGGTTTACAAATGTGCAAGACTTTCATGGCTTGAAGGCGGCTGGCTTTCAAAATGCGGTTCTCGCCTTAGCGCCGCGCACATTCGTCTCAAGAATTTGGAAGACCTTCACGGATTGATGGCGGGTCGGTTTCAAAACGTGGCTCTCGCCATGGTGCCACGCACACTCCCGTTAGATATGTACAATGACTATCACTGGCTATCATGGTTAACGTACCAGAAA